CAATGCAATACACAGATCATGTATCACAGGAATGTATACTTGAAACCTATTAACCAATGTTAACCCAATAAATTTAATTTTTTAAAAAAAGAGTCAAAATCAAGGACATTGAGAGATCCCTGAGAGAAAAATTATAAAATAAAAGAAAATTTTCTACAGACACAGGGCAAGCCTGTATGTGGGAAATGGGAGAGCTAAGAGAGCCATAGGAAGTAAAAGTGTTGGTAGAAGAAAGTATCCCCAAATCAGCACAGTGAGTGTTATGGAAGCTAAGAAAGGAGTTTAAAGAAGCAGATAATAGTTTCAAATATTGCACATGAAGCAAAGAAAGTAGAGCCTGAGAAAGCTGTTTGGAATTGGTGAATTGTACGTCAGCAGAGGTGGTAAGGGTTAACACCACATTGTGAAGAGCCCCTGTAGAAAAGAAAAGCAAGCAAGCATTTTAATGGTAAAGAGAAGGAGAGAAAAATAGCTTAAGAAGCTAGTCTGTTTATGTTGGGAGATCCTAAGGAGGTTTTTGTATGCTCCAGCTTTCATACTTCATTATTTCTAACTAGAGGTCTGGTGCATGAATTTGTGCCTGGGTGGGGTCCCTCAGCCTGACCAGTGATAGGGGCCAATCTGGGCTGTCTCGCCTAATCCCAATTGGGGCCAATCGGGCTGGCTGGCCTGGGGGAGAGACTGCGGGAGGTTGGCCAGGCACAGGAGGTTGGTTGTGGGAGCTCACTGACCACCAGGGGGCAGCTCCTGCATTGAGCATCTGTCCCCTGGTGGTTAGGGCATGTCATAGCAACTACCCGTTAGGTAACCAGTTGTAATGGTTGTTTAGGCTTTTATAGAGAGAGATTATGTTATTATGCCTCAGACTCTACTGATACAATTGAGGCATGCTCTAGTGTAAGGCAAAAGGGCACCTAAGGGCCAAGTCTCCTTTGTAGTTAATGGGGTCTCAAACAGAAAGAACCTTCCTTTAAAATGGCTTCCTCTTCTCTCCATCCCATTGTACAACTTGTTCAGACCCTCAGGCCTGCAGCCTGCCTGACTGTGACAGCTTCCCTCCCATCTCTGCCAACATTAATTCAATTTGTTCTCAAAATTATTTACAAGCACAGATTTTGTTGGTTCATGGTCATGTCTTTAATAAGGGGGAGGGAGGGAAGAAAAACTTTCAATAGCTCTCTAGTTTCTATTTATTATAAGAAAAAAATAGATTCTTCTCCTTGATTTTCAAGACTCACATAATCTTACGTACCTCTATAATTTCCAGTACACATAATTTTTTTACTCTTGCCCTAACATATGTCATTGGTTCTAGTCAGGCTATTTCACCAAGCAAAGTACTTTCCAATCCTGTGTTCCCCTTTTCTCTACAATTATGCATCTCTAACCTGTCCTTCAAGGACTTATAAAATATGCATATGTATTATTCTCACTTTGGTTCTAATATTTCTTCTCTCAAATTTTGCACAATAATTATTGTCAAGGGGGAAGAAAGAAAGAGCTAAATATATCCTAGTTTAGCTTTGGGTCTTTTCCAAACGTATCCCCTCATCACAAAATTCTGCTATGTGCCCACAACCACCTGTGAGTATCAGTACTACTGATGTCGGAATGCATGCCCTCATCCCACATAGCTGTTCCACACAAGCTCATTCTTAGAGTTTTTTTTTTATTAGCTCCTTGAGGACAGAGACTCTGACTGACCACACAATAGGTGCCGCTCACCAATGTCCAGTTCACCTCCTTCTAGGTAACTGGTAGAATTGGATTTCTCCGGCTTACTTTGATGCTAGACCATGGGACTTATTTTGGCAAATGGATTATGAGTGGAATAGAAATTCACCTGCAAGTGTGTTTTAGGAGAGGGCCTGCATTGTCTTGGGTCCTTGAGTAATTACCATGAGACTTCCTGTTACTTTGTGCAGAACATGTAATGTGATGGGAAAAATCAACTTTTATTATCATGTGAAGTCGCTGAGACTTTGGCTCTGTTTGTTTCTACAGGATGGTGTTGTTCCTCAAAGCGGGATCCTTGGACCAACAGCGTCTGAGGGCTTATTAAATATACAAACTCTCAGTTCCTGCTCCATAGCCACCAAATGTGAATCTGCATTTAAATATGCTCTTCTCGTGTTTCATATAGCTATTAAAGTTTGAGAAGCACTGTCCTTGACTCTTCTGGCAAGCACAAAAATTGTTATAGAGAAGTGGCTGGATCAGAATCTAAAATGGATAAATACACAGAGAGCAGGGACAGATGGCAATGCATGTGATGTTGCGGGAAAAGAGTTTGACTGATGGATATCATACACAAGCATATGGGGGAAGGTCTGAAAACAGGGTATCAGGAGTGTGTATTGGCTACTGTTGGCTGCATTTAATGAAATACTACAAGGGAGTGGTGAGCTACAGACATAATTAACTGAATGCAAGCAGGAATAAAAGGGACTCCACATGGTAGAGCAATATGAATGCACTTAATACCACTGACCTGTAAACTGAAAAATTGTTAATATGGTAAATTTATGGTATATGTATTTTATAATAAATAAGTAATAGGATTATTGATACATTTGAAACCAGGTTTAAAATTAAACTTTTTTTTTCCAAGAAAATCCAAGAGTCACGGACTCCAGCATGGGAAGAGATAGCTCTTCTCAACCCAATAAGTAAAAAATTAAATTTAAAACGTTGAATAACATAGGCCAAATTAAAACTCAGATTTGGCACTAGGATCAAATCAAGGGGTCAGGTTTCACCATCACTGCAAATCCTCTTAGTAGATTACGGAAGCTGTCTCAGAATCAATGCCAAGAGGGATGTAGCAAAAGGATCCAGCGAGTCCTTTCAATTGGACAAAAGGTCTCAGAGAAATAAAACGAAAAGTAAGACTTTCCCTCACAACCTGACAGACTCACAGCACAGAGGGTTAGGATGAGGGAAAGGAAAGCCATCGGGACAAAGAGGACCAGCACGCAGAGCCTGGGAGATAAGTGCAGATCTGCACAGTCTGGTGAGGCAGCACCAGCCAAGGTTGCTGTTGACCATGGAAATGTAATGCCCTGCAGGCTCCTCCTGTTCCTCCGCTGAATGTGAGTGACTGTGTGGTCCCCTGTCCCACCATCATTTATCAGATAACTTGTCCTTTTAGTTTATTGGTCTCCAGCTCAAGAGGAACCACATCTGCACCTACGGTAGAGACAACCTGGGGGATTTTTCAGTTACACCTTCACCACAAAACTCTACTATGCTCCCTGAACCCATAGGTGAAAATTGCCATTACAGACACAGAGTTTTTGCAGTCCTTATTTTACAGCAAGTATCGTCTGCACTTCATCAGCTCTCATTTATGCGTAGCACCTTGAACTGTTGGCAGTGTATTCACGCATCTTAACATATTCATGTCTTAAATAATTTGTCCCATAAGCTCTTTGATGGCAGAAAGTAAATAATGGCCGCTGCTTCTAGCCCCCAACTAAGTACATGGTTAGTGACATCCTCACAACACTTATTTACCAAGAGACAGACTGTAAGACAATGTATAATGTCGTGTACAGTATTATTTGATTTTCAGGAGTCAAATCATCTTAAACTGAGAAACAGCCATCATCCAGGCAATAGATACTGTCGGGGAAACTTCATGCTAACTTCTCCTTTTGCTGTAGCTGCTGACAAATGGGCAGAAACACTCTGAACAGCGCACATTTCATTAACCATTGCTTTGAACACATGTTGTTATATCAAATGAAGTTCCTACAGAAGCAGGAAGAGTACATATGGAATACCATGTAGTGTTTGACAGCTACATGGATGTTTTGTTTAGGAAACTTTGTATTAGAGTTTCAGGGCCGGGCTAATTTGCAGATATTTACTGAATCACTATGTTACATGTATTCCTTCCCACTGGACACACATCTGTAGTTCTCAAGACCATCCTGTTAGGTCAGTCCAGATGTGGAACCTGAAATGAGATGATTAAGGCAACATCACCTGTCAAAGACAGAGTCGGGACATGAACTCAGATTTTCAAACTCCATTCCACACTGGAGAAGACAGGACTCCCTGGGTTAGAGATGGGCACTGACTTTCTCTGGCTGCTGGAGTCGGATTGTGATGTGCAAATTATACAGTGAGTGACAGGGTTTCAAATTCAGAGACAGGCCCAGTCTGAGAACGTATGAAATGGCTTGGCTACGGGCATGTGTTACAAGGGGGCGGCGAGTATGTGAGGGTGGCATGGGACACTTGGAGCCCATAACATGTCCCCAAGACATTCATTTGGAAACCCCGGACTGAATCAGAATAAGACAGTAAGGAGAGTCGCAGAAACTTTCACACCACATGATATAAGGTTTTGTAGCATAAAGTTTTATATCTGGGTAAAGCTAAAACATGATTGACAGAAGTAGAATTAAGGAAATTCCATCCTTGGACAATTGTGAACACAAGCCATACAGCCAAAAGTTCAAGAAAGAAGAGCTATAGCAAAATCCCATAACAAATAAACAGGAAATTTCAAATGAAAAGAATTTGTCCACTCTCTTTTACCCTGAAAAGCATGGATAAGTCCCAGGGATATCAAAGAAGTTACAAAACAGTTTCTGGGGAGAAAAAGCAATCAATAAGATGTAAATATTCACAGGTTTTCTTCCATTATGGTCAGCTCTTCATCCTGTGTAGACCCTGAGCACACACTAGATGGAAGATGGATGGGGCCCCCAGAAATGGCAGGAGTAGGAGAAAACATAGTAGGAAAACGGGTCAATAATAAATGGTCACAGACCATTTCCAAAAAGGGTAAGTTGCATGCGCACATCTGCCCAACCACCACCACAGGAAAGAGAGGGGTGGGGGGAAGAATGCATCTTTAAGTACCAATTCAAGAGCGAGAGAAAGGACAAATGGGATGCACAGTTTTGATTTTTTGAGTTTCCGGATTCCCCCTCACTGACTTCATTACAACGTAAAGGAAGGGGACAAGAACGCTGCCGAGGGCGCTTCTAATAGCCGCTGGGGAAGATACAGGGCGTCCTGAAGCCATGGCAACAGATAATCTCCTTGAAGGTCTTCCGCATCTCCTGGCTGCGGAAGGCGTAGATCAGGGGGTCGATCACGGAGTTGCACATGATGAGGATGAGGTACATGTTGAAGTGGGACATGAAGCAGGAGCAGTAGAGGTTCTGAGGGCAGGAGATCATCAGGATGAGGTGGAGGAAGAACGGGGCCCAGCACACGATGAAAATGCCCAGCAGCATGGTGAGGGTGACGGCGCCCTTCATGCTGGTCCTCTGCCGCACGGAGCCGCAGCCGGGCAGCGCCGCGATCTGCTTGACGTGCGTCCGCGCCAGCAGGAACATGTGTATGTACAGGGACACCATGAGGAACAGCATGGTGAAGAACATGGAGATGAGGCAGATGATGACGTACGTGGACTCGTAGTAGATGATGAACACGATGCCGCAGCCGGTGCAGAAGACCCAGATGCTCGCGATGATGGCCCCGCAGCGCCTCACGGTCATGATGTGGTGGTAGCGCAGGGCGTAGAAGATGGTGACGTAGCGGTCCACCGCGATGGCCAGCAGGCTGCACATGGAGGCCACCACGGAGATGCAGATCATGGAGTCGAACACGTTGTCGATGTGGCGCACGAAGGCGTCAGCGATCACCAGGTGCTTGTTGTTGATCAGGTAGATGGTGATGGTCTCCCAGGTGTTGGACATGCTCACCATCATGTCCGCCACGGCCAGGCTGCACACGAAGAAGTACATGGGGGAGTGCAGGTTCTTGTTCTTTATGATGGCGCCGATGACCAGGATGTTCTCCAGGAGGCTGATGAGGCCCAGCGTCAGGAACACCTCCACGGCGATGCCCATGTCCTCACACGGCGAAGACCTGTTCTTGGCATGCGGTCCCGAGAGGTTGCCCTCCGTGGCGTTCAGGCCGAGATCTAAGAAATACAGGCGAAATGAGGAATTCATTGCTCCTCTTCTCGGCACCCAATGTACTGCAAAACAGGTTGTCACGCGTGATTCAGAGAGGTTAACAGTGTGCCAGAGAAACACAGCAGCATTCCAGAAGCAAGCCAAACCTGAGAATGGGCAGTGAATGGACTCGGAGCATTCGCTGAGTGTTAGGATTCTATGTGTTAGAATAGAACACATCCTGCCATGTACCCGGACTCCCGGAAGGGTGTCCTTCCGGCACGCAGGCTTAGGACTGTCACCAGCCTTCCGGTCCTCCTCCTTTTAGGCTCCCATTCTGTCACAGACCTCTGGACAGAGTGACCACACATCCCCGGGTGCCTAAGACAGTTTCACTCTTTATGCTTGCTGTCCTGGCATCCAAATTCACTCTCAAAAGTGTTCCCAACACACAGCCTATAAAACCCCTTCCAGCCTCCGGATTTGCACATTCCTAAGGCCTCTAGCCCACTGCCTTTCCTCCAGTGACCTTAGATTTCTGAAGGCTATGTAGGCCCATATTCTCTTAAGAGAAGCAGATGGATGCCTTCTTTTTTAAACAATCTAATGTGTAAGACAAACATACGTGTCATGCTTTGTTGACATTAGTAACATTTTTACAATTATTGGAGTAGTAACATTGTGCTTATACAAATACTTGTATTATTCATGTCCAAGATGGCAGGACAATCCTTCTACAATTTTCAATTAAATATTATTTTAATATGTAATATTAGTTTACATTAAATATTATTGTATACTGGTTTCAGATATACAGTGGTTAGACAAATCATATACTTTACAAAGTAGGCCCTCGGATAGTTCAACTAAGATTTGTCCTGACACTTCTAAAATCCGCTAGGAGTCCATCTCCACAGTGACAGTTAAGACTGTCACCAAGGTGATTCATTAATTTTATATAAGAGCAAATAACAAGTTACTGCCTTCCATTCATACATTTAGTTGCACATGCCTGTTGAATTTGAAACACACAGAATGATGTTTTCCCCTCAACAAACATTTTCCCCCAATTCTGCATTTGAATTCCAACAACGTCTGATTAATAAATACTTTTACAAGTTCCACAGACAAATAGCACGGGGATACAAGGGATTTTGAATTTACTAAGAACTAGAGCAAGATCACTCCTTGGTTGCCCAATTTCTCTCCCATGATTTATATTCTTAAAAAATCCCTTTGCCCTCCAAACTCAGCACATCTGGGAGTTGGAATTTCTGTCATCCTTTTCCACCCTCCGTCATAACCTCTTACTGAAATGGAAGCATTTGTCGTTTCGCCTAGTTCTGTCTCAGGGATCGGGAGCAACCAATTATACTATCACATTCACCATCACACCAAGCTGTTTAAATACCCAAGTAGCTCTCTTCCCCGGTGACAGCGAGGCAGGCTTTTGCATTCCTTCCAAGGCGAAGAATGAAATACAAAGAAAGTGGGGCTATTTACCAGCTCTACCCCGCTCCGCTCCTCTTGCACAGCAGCCCGGGGGCCCTTCGCGCGGGACTCCGGCATCCACAGGCTGGGGCCTCCGCCGGGAGCCGAACTGCCATCACCCCGGACGGGACTCCTTCAGCAGCGCATAGGCGCCCTGCGCCCGGTGGCGGCTCCCCGGCCTTTGTACAGCCCCGCAGCCCCGCCTCCATGCGGCTCCCTGGGGACCCCTCGCTCTGCTTTGGTCCCAGGCACGGGCCTGAGGCTCCACCTAGCGGTCAGAGCCCTGGAGCACGACCCTCCCTTTCGCAGGCAGGTGCAGCTCTGGCTGCGGGCCTGCGCAGCTCTGGGTGACACCTGCACAGAACAAACGTCTGTTCTTCTGTTCCTGGAGAATCCTTCCCCGAAAGTGCATTCCAATGTGTTTCCTAAATGGCTGTTCTTTTTTACTTACTAGTTTCTCTTCTCTTCCTCGTATGTATTGATTAACATGCTAATGGCTCATTCACAGCTCAGATTTTCCTGTCCCTCTATAAATCCTTCTCTCCAAAGGGTCCCTAATGACTATTTGGGGAATCCGAGTCTGGGACCCTCAGTTTTGAGGCTGATACACACTCCCTGGTTGGCAGCAAGACCTGAACTCCTCCACAAGGACTGTGTTCGCCATGCCAGGTCTCCTACCACTACCAACGAGCTTTGGTTAGTCAAGCACAAAGAGAAAAGAGATTTTCGTCTGGCCAGATATCCTGGATCTTAGTTTCTGGATCTTCCATTTCTCTGGTACCTAATACAAATAAAACAATTTTAAACAGACCAAAAAAAAAAAAAGACTAAGAAGGTACTAAATAATGATTTTAAAAAATGTCAATGCAAGAAGAAGATATAACATATATATTTAGGAGCACCTAAATATATATATATAAAACAGGTATTTATAAGGAGAAAGTAACCGTTATAAAATAATATTAGGGATCCTTAATGCACCACTTACATCAATGAATAGATCATTCAGACAGAAAATCAATAAGGAAATATTAGCCAAATTGACATATTAGATCAGATGAACTTTATAAATATCTACATGATTCATCCAAAACCTGAAATTCTTTTCAAGTGCACATTAAACATTCTCCAGAATAGGTCATATGTTAGAACACAAAACAAGTCTCAATAAATTCACTTTTCATACCAAACACTTTTCTAACCACAACAGAATGAAACTAGAAATCAATTACAAGAAGAAAAATGGAAAAACAACACATTAACATATGGAGTCTAAACATCATGTTACTGAAAAATCATATGGGTCAATGAAAAAGCCAAAGAGGAAATAAAAACTACCTTGAGACAAATGAAAATGGGAACACAACTTTTCAAAATCTACAGAATGCAGCAAAAGCAGTTCTAAGAGGAAAGTTTATAGAGATACAGGCCTACCTCAAGAAACAAACAAAAACACACACAAATAAACAATTTAACTTTATATTGAGGAAAAAAAGAACTAGCAAAATCCAAAGTAAACGAAGGATATAATTAAGGTCAGCACAGAAATAAATGCAACAGACTAAAAAAATAGAAAATATTAATAAAACTAGAGCTGATTCTTTCAAAAGATAAGTAAAATTGACAAGCCTCTAATAAGACTTGTCAAGAAAAAAATGAGACCACAGTTAAATAGAATCAGAAATAAAAGAAAAGAGATTACAACTGACATGACAGAATTGCAAAAGATCATTAAAGAATACACTGGCCCAGCTGGCATGGTTCAGTGGTTGAGCATCGACCTAAGTACCAGGAGGGCACCGTTTGATTCCAGGCCAAGGCACATGCCCTGGTTGTGTGGCTCAATCTGCAGTGCAGGGCATGCAGGAGGCAGACGATCAATGATCCTTTCTCATCATTGACATTGATAACTCTCTCTCTGAAATCAATAACAATTTATATATTTTTTAAAAAGAATACTCTGAATAATCATATACCAACAAATGTCAATCTAGAATAAATAAATTTATAAAAACACAATCTTCCAAAACTGAAACAGAGACTTTGTGCAGACCAATTATTAGCAATGAAATTAAAGCAGTAATCAAAACCCTTCAAACAAACAACCTCCACAACCAGAAGAAAAACATTAAAAGAAGAATTAATATCGCTCCTTCTCAAAAAAAACTTCAAAACATTTGAAGAGAAAGGCATGCTTTCAAACTCATTCTATAAGGCTGGCATTATTCTGATACCAAAACACCAAACAAAGACACTACGATAAAACTCCTCAGCAAATATTAGCAAAGTGAATTTAACAACATATTAAGAGAATTATACACCATGATTTATTACAGGGGTGCAAGAATGGTTCAAATATCTGCAAATCAATCAACCTGTTATACCACTTAAACAAATCCAAAAGTAAAAGTCGTATCTCAATAGAAGCAGACAAAGCATTTGACAAAATTTAGCATACATTTATGATAAATATTCAATAAAGTAGGTATAGAGGGGACATACCTCAACATAAGAAAGACCATCCATGACAAATGCACAGCTAACAACATGTTCAGTGATGAAAAGCTGAAAGCTATTCTTCTAATCTGAGGAAGAAAACTAGAAATACTTGCTCTCACCACTTTTATTCAACATAGTATTAGAAGTTCTAGCCACAGCGACCAGATAAGGAAATAATAAAATAAAAGGCATCCAAATAACAAGTGTTGATGAAGCAAACCCTTGTACACAATTTGTTGCATTGTAAATAGCTGTAGCCACTGTGGAATCTCATTTTTAAAAAGTAAGGATAAAACCACCATACAACCCAGCAATTCCAATTCTGGGTATTTTGAAGAAAATAAAAAATATTAACTCAAAAAGATACATACACTCAAGTGCTGAGTGCAACATTTACAATAGCCAAGATATGGAGGCAAACTAGATGTCCATTGATAAATGAATGGATAAAGATGTTAAATAATGAAATATTAGTCAGCCATTAAAAAGAATGAAATCTTGCCATTTGCAACAACATGGATAGACCTGGAGGGCATTTTGCTGAATGAAGAAGTCAGACAGCTAAAAACAAATACCATATGATTTTACTTATATGTGGAATATAAAACAATAACAACAAATGAACAGAAACAGTCTCATAGAGAACAAATTGATGGTTGTCAAAGGAGAGGGAGAAGAGGAAATAGTAGAAATAGTAAAGAAGAATTAGAGGTAAAAATTCTAGTTATGCAATTCAGAAGTCACAGAGATATAATGTATAGCATTATAGTCAATAATATTATAACAGGTTTATATGGTAACAAATTGTTACTGAACTTATTGTGATGATCACATCAGAAGTATATGATGTCAAATTGTACACCTGAAACTAATATAATATTGTAAGTAAATATAATTTGAAATGTCAATAAATAAGGTGGCTGTACCATTTTGCATTCCCACCAGCAATAAATGAGAGTTGCTCGTGCTCAACATTCTCATCAGAGTTTGGTGTTGTATTTTGGATTTTAGCCCTTCTAGTAGGTATCTTATTGTTTGAATTTGTAATCCCTTGATGACACATAATG